AAGTATATTAGAAAATAACAGAAATATGAATGAATACAATGCAATAATGTGATATGGTCATGCAGTATTCTGTGTAAAGTTACACTAACCGTAGTCTGAATACATCCATAGCCAGGTGACCTCCATAGTAAACAATCTGTTGTTTCCTTTCTCAAAATGATATTTTATTTACATAACGAAATATTCGGCCGGAATTCCACCCACAACCTGAAACCGGGTGCTCATTTAACATACGATAAAAGTCAGATATACAATCTGGCAAGTGAACGTGGCGAAAAGTCAAGGTAGACAGTATTACGTCACTAACTTAAAGTACTTGAAAGGATATCTCACTCCCTTTTTTTTCAAACGCCCCCAAATCTAATAATCAGTTATCCCTCTTGTAATCTTATAAAAGAATATCCCAATCATGCAATTCAATGCAACAATGAAAAAAATCACAAATACCTTAAAAACATCGTAACTGATATCTTTGATAGCGATAAGGCACTGCCCATTGACGTTAGAGGTATCCAACAAACGCTTGAATCTGTCGGACGCGTTGGCAAGCACAATTTTGTGAGCGTAGAATGTTCGATCTTCGAGAAGGAATTGAATGTCCGACATTTCGGGGTTATTGACATATTTTGCATCGATGCGAGGAGCAGCTATTGCGGCTTCCTCAACTATCATTGGCTGAATCGGGTTGGCGCCGTAGAGTACAGCGAATATCTGCATCGCGTGGACACGAAGGATGTCGTCCTAAAATATCGACTTACACAAGCACCGTCGAAACTAACGTGCTTATACGGTACCCATTTTCTGTTGTGTTATTTGTTGCTTTGGTCGTTTTATTGTTTAACCCCTCTATTTTTGACTGCTCAAAATTATAGTTATAGTCAGTCAATCAGTCAGTCCATCAGAGAGTCAGGCAGTCGGTCGGTCGGTGAGTGAGTGAGTGAGTCAGTTAGTCAATCAGTCAATGAGTGAATTAGTGAGTAAGTTTCCACGGCCGCATCTCAGGTCGCGGAGGCAGCAGAATCAGGCAATGACTAATGTCTTCAAAGCTCCCAATCATTATGCGCCAGCATCTTCGAAGCTTTGGCAGAAGATAACCTGAGTCTGGAGCAGAGTCCAGTGATTATATTTGCTATATTTATTGTCCTATGATATCATATTATGCAAAATGAAGTTCATCGGTGATACCATTCATGGTGCAAAATCTACTGTAATTCACTAGTCGATTTCATTTCTTTTCTAGAAGGAAAAGAGGGTGATTCTATCGTACCTGATAGCGCAGCAAAATGTCGAACATAAGAGGAAGACCAGTTTCGACAAACGCATCAGTGATCTCGAAAGGATTCTTGAGGTAGTCGTCGAAAAGCATCTGGATAAGTGCCTTACGGCCGATTTCAACTGCAGCTGACAAAGTTGCCGTCCAAATATAGGAGTTCCAAGGTATGCCTAAAAGCAGGAATTGTTTACTACTCAATTCGCACAATTATCCAATCGCACCTAAACTGGAAACGTCCAAAACGATGTCCAGGTATTCGTTTTCAGCCGCGACGTACATCGCCTCGGTCAACACCTTGCGCTGTCGTTTGCTGAACTGTGGGAGCTGCGGTGGCGGCGGCGGGGACACGGCTTTCATGGCAGATTCCTTGATAAACCTGTATGCCGGAGGTCCGGATTTGCCTTCTCTCGGTGCCTTTTTGTTCCCAGTTTCGCTTGCTTCCGCTAAGAAATCCTGCAGACTGATTGTCTCCTCGTCGGAGCAATAGCGACGGCACGTCGTCAGCAGGTGAAACAATTTTCGTTGACCATGCGATGCCGCCAGCACCACTGGCGGAGGTGATCCGCGGCGTCTGAAGGCGCTACCTACAGGTGGCGCCTTCAACGTCGAATAGAACGGGTCAGCGCCACAAGACAGTAGAAGTTTCGCCGCCTCGTAGTTGCCTGAAATTAAATCTTATGCGAACGCAAGGATTTTAAGCATGTATTCTCCACTGCTTCTGAAACTAATTTAAATATAAAACAGTTAAATTACTGGTTTTTTTCTCGAAGCACTATCAACCCATAGTTGCTTAAATCGTAATTTGGAAGAATGAATTTTTTTTTAAAAATAGCGTATTTTAAAGTGTGCACTTTCGCCAGCAGTTGAAATTTGAAACAATACATAAAAACATGCATAAAAACAAAAAAGAACAACATACGGAAAAAAATCACAAAAAAACATATTGAAACAACTCTAACATAACATATCAATTTATGCTATTAGTATAATCTTCCTTGGAGCCCTTAAAATCGTCTGAAGACTGGCAACATATATTAATAACATGTCACGTCATAAGCGTAGGCAAATATTTCCGTCGACCAATACTTCTTAATCATCTGCCCAAGACTGAGAGAGTAAGTGCCTGCAATGAAAAAGACTTAAAGAGACGTCACGGATTCTCTGCTTATAGATATCATATCCATGAAATTTTCTTTATGAAGACATGCTGGATTCTCTTTGACGAATTAATGGTAAGTCTGGCGTGATTAAATGAAGGGGTCTTCAGGTCTAACATAAAAATTACTTGGGAGGGTGAACTATCAGTGCAAAAATCATTACCTACTCTTTCGTCTTCACCTGATCCTCTCAATCTGTCTCCTTCATTGTTCACTTCTGAGTAGTCTCAAAGAAAACCGTAAGGAACCAGAACAAGGACAACTTCAGCGACAGCTGTAGTCTTTTAACAAGAACCAAGAGACATTATTGAAGTCTGGAATCGTTACGCTCATTAAAGGTCAACAGAAACGATGACTATCCTCATTATCGCCAGGTTCATCTTTGCATAACGTTGAAGTTTCATCACTATATGAGAATGAGTTCAAAACATCCACAGGGATCAGAAGCAGTGACAACTGCAGCTATAACCTCGAACGGGCCATACTTAATGACTGTCACCACCGGCATTATCACAATTATGATAGTCAAATGATAACAGGGATGATGATTAAGACGATAATTATGTTTTAAAGAGATTACTTGAAATTTTTATGCGGGATGAAATTTCTTAATCGCTGAAATCTTCAAAAGGTTCACTCCGCATAAAAATTTTATTAAACAAAATCCAGACACTTCGGATCGAACCGAATCTATCTATCGCAGACCTTATGTGTTAACAAGTGCAAAACATTGATTTTCTATTGCTGACATTGGTTTCTTGCACTCACTAATGGTTCCAGCTCAATCCGAAACGTCTGGATACTGTTAACAAAACTGAAGATTTTTGCTGATTAAGATAGCGACGTTCATGATGCTTTAATTTATTGATTCAGAATGTTCTAAAAAAATCAATAATATTTTCAACTTCCAACGATCGTAGCCGAATTCAGAAGGAGAATGATAAAAATGGTCAGGAAACGCATTTGGCCTATTTTGCTGCCAACCATTCTACGCCTTACCCGTCATTGCAGCTACTTGAAGAGGCGTTTCAGTAACCATAGCGGGAAGTTCCAAGCTGGCACCTTTATCCAACAAAAATTTCACTTCTTCCAGGTTGTTGCCAATGACAGCGAAATTAAGTGCTGTCCAGCCGGCGATTACATCACACTGTGGTGCCTGACAGCGACTCCCAGTGGCACTGGCGGCTACAATGGCGTCGATCGATGTTCCGAGGTTCAGCAATGCTTTGACGCGTTCCAGGTCGCCGTGTAAACAGGCAAGCATCAGTGGCGTCAAACCCTAAACAGCAAACGTCGGTCATTTGTGACGTCACCGTTAAACAGTAGTCATAAATATTACGCGACTGTTGTGGACATCAAGACTCCTTATTCGCAACTGTTCCATCACAGAGGGCATTTTCTCCGGTTGCGTCGAAGCTATGACCAAAAACGACACGTGTTCTTTCAAAATTTCGACACTTTCGGAAGTTTCGTCATAAAGTACGATCTGCTCATCTCTAGAAGCAAAAGCATGTTCAAAGAAACAACATTTACAAGTAACAGCTTCAACGAATGCTGACCCAAGAATAGGCGGTGGACAATCCAAATATGGCAATAGTATCCTGGCTGCTTGCACAACGTCAGTACTTTCGATCATAGCTCCCATTCGATGGTCACAGTTTGCTTCGATTATTCGACACCAGTCAATCAACGGCGGTAACATCAAATAAGGCCTGAAACCAAATAAATTCTTCTAATAGGGTAAATTTTGGCATTCGTTTGTTCGCATAATTCATAGCATATACAGCATAAGATATCACAGAGACCGACATACGGACCGTAAACATAAAGCGACTAATGACAAAAAAGATTGCATTAGTTACACGGTTCACCTATAGAAAAATAGCATTGTGACCTATAGAAAAATAGCATTGTGTATATGAAATTCTGGTACTTCAGTCTGAGGAAGGAACAGTATATAAGCACAATCTTTATCCCTCCTAAGTCATACCTCAATCACCCCAATATGACCGTCGATGTACAGCTGATGTTCTAGGCTGTAGCAGGTTCTAGCATGCTGTGAAAGCTTGAGAAACATATTCAGTCAAGTGGAAGAGGCAAACACGACCAACTCCTCTGGCCAGCGTGACGAGTTATGGACAAGCCCTTCAAAATAAAACAACAACTAACACTACAAGCTTCATACAGCAGTGGACGAGATGCTACTGCTGATGATAACATTTTCATGCGTTCTTTGCCCGTTTGTGAAATTTTTCTTCATCTTTCATGACCGTTTCTCCTTTCAGGTCGCGGAAGAAAACGCGTCAGACAGTACTTCCCACGTTCCCGATCCTGTTCCAAAATCTGAGCTTTGGCAGAAGACAACCAGCGTCTAGAGCAGACTCCTACTGTACATTTGCACCAGGTTAATCTTGTGAAATTTTTCTAACCTATATTATCCTTCTTTTAATGTACACTGACAAAGATGACAACAAATTAATGTACATTAACAAAGCTGATAACAAAAAACCTGAAGAAAACGGAAATGAAGATTTTAAGATCAATGTTAAGAGTGAAGTGACACAACTTGCTATCGAGTGCGCTAGTATAAGAGAATAGGATATGGAATCAAAATGACCGATTTCGACGAATTTAACACCATGAAGTCACTTGAGGATGAATCACCAAGTATTACACGAAAGCCTGAACTGCCACTACATTTCAGCAGCTTTGTAGATTTCAGTAGCAGCTCGTGCTTCCATACCGTTTCAAAAGCAGAAGTGAGGTCGAACAGCACCATAACCCCGTGATAACCTGTTTAGTGGAATTTTCTTTCGTAATCCATCATTGAAGCCCTCTTTAACTTACACAGGAAACAAATTACCGTTCATGGTTCAGTGCTATGCTGGGCATTGAGCTGTACGGGTTTTCCACTTGCTCCAACTGTGAACAGCGCATGAAGTAAAACAGCGCCTCTAGGGCACATCTGCTCCAACGGGAGGTAGGTTTAACGATGCAGTTCGAGTTCTTGCGACCGGGCGTGTTCAGCGGCTGCAGTTCGCTGTTCTGACGCTGCTGCAGACACACCTTGTCCACGAGGTTGGCTAAAGAGGAACAATTTCAATTAAAGAAACGCGCGTCACCAAACATTATCACAAACTCACTCAATTCTTTGACGCTGCCAACGCACGTAGCTAAGAGACACTGGTAGGCCGCGCTCTTCTGTTGGCCACCGCTGTTCCTGGACAGGTTGTAGGTAGAAAGGCGACGAAACGAAGAAACAGATTCTGGCAGCGTAAGGACACCTCAAAATCGAGAGAAGTGCCAGGAGCCATATGGCATAGGTGGTTAAGCGATACCAGTTGCGATTCGACTATATACAACGTGGGCGTACGGTTGAAGAAGACCCCAGAATTCGGCACTGTTCGCTATCGCGGCATCCAGAACATCTGCAGACAACAGGTCGGTTGGGTCTGACGGTAGCGCCCGCAAAATGATCTCCTCAGCCAGGCTTTCGACTATAGCCGTCAAATAGATGACCGCTGATTCTTCGATACACGGCGCAATCTGAATATCACAGAAACAATAGTAAATAAGGGATAAGGATTAATTTTTCATTCGTCATTCTTCTCTAGTGTGACGATTCATAAAAAGGTGACCTAACATCATCCTCTGAGTTA